GGGGGGGGGGGGGGGGGCGTATTTCAGAAATCCTCAGTATTTGTAGGTCGTTTCCTGCGGATGAAGTTGTGTCCGACCTCGGCCGAGAGGATCAACACTGACTCTATGAGTGACTCTCATTACCGGAGGAGGAGGCCCCTGAAGCCGGGGGCAGGAACGCTGTAGAATTCTCTCCTCAAGGCCCTTCCTGGAGGGAGCGGGCTCGGGCTCCGCGACAAACCAAACCAAACCCCCCCCGGGGGGCTGAGGGAGGAGAAGGCCCGGCCTCACATCTCCCTCATTCCCAGGAGACACGGCAGGGTACACCGCCCCCCACCCCCCAAAACCCTCCGCCCCCGGAGGTCACTCACCAGCGACCGCCCGGAAACTCTCCGCCGCCCGGACAGTTTTGACTGGGGCACCGCTTCACCAGTCCGCCAATCAGGAGCAGCCAACAGGTCCCAACACAAATAGGCTCCCCGGAGCAACAAGACGTCACGCTCTCGGGCCGGGCTGGCTGGGTGTTTATTTCTGAGATAATAATCAAACTGGGGTGTATTAATCTAATATCACACAGAATGACTGTTTATTAACCAAATGATAATGATGCTGGGGGTGTATTCCGCTAATGTAATCGGACTGTGGGTTTACCACCATAATGATAATCAAACTGTGGGTTTATTACTCAAATATGATCAGACTGGGGCTGCATTAGCCAATGATGATCAGAATGGTTGTGGGGAGATGGTCTGTTAATGTAAAAATAATCAACCCGAAGGTTCAATACAGTGGGTCTGTTACTGAGGGCATATTCAGCCACATGGTCTGTTACTCCCAATGATATTCAGCCTGGTAGTTTGTGGGGTGGGGTTCTGTCACTTTTATAATAAACAAACCATGGTGATATACTTTTCTTCATTATTCATGGTATTTGGGCATCACGGGCAAAGCCAGCGTTTTTTGCCCATCTCCAGTTGCCTTAGATCAGATGGTGTGTGACCACCTTCCTGTATTCTATCTGGCGAAGGTACATCCACAATGTCTTTACAGGAGCATTTTTAGATTTTTGAATGGCCAATAGCTAAGGAAAGGTAATGCGTTTCCAAGTTAGCATTGTTCCCATGGATCTGCTGTACTTGTACTTCTTGATGGCAAGGTTTGTGGGTTTAAAAGGCTCTGCTGAAGAAGCTTTGGCAACCTGCTGCACTGTATTGTGTAAATAGAGTCATAAAATCCTTACAGTGCGGAAGCAGGCCATTCAGCCCATCCAGTCCACACCAACTCTACAAAGAGCATCCCATCCAGAACCACCTCCCCGCCTATTCCCGTAACCCTCTATTTCCCATAGCTAATCCATCTAGACACTACGGGCAATTTAGCACAGCCAATCCATCTAAACTGCACACTTGGTCTGTGGGAGGAAACTGGAGCACTCGGAGGAAACCCACGCAGACACAGAGAGAATGTGCAAACTTCACTCAGACAGTCATCAAAGGCTGGAATCAAACCCAGGTCCCTAGAGCTGAGGCAGCAGTACTAACTACTGAGGCACTGTGCCACCCTTGGAACACTCTGCTACCAATGTGTGCCAGTGGTAGATAGTCAGCGTTCTCAAAATGAACTATAAAACATGATCTTTAACACAAAAACAGGTTTTTCCAGAATTATGCCTGCAACACACACGCATAATGCGCTGACACTTCTGTTTATTGCAAACCCGTATTTTTCCTCCTGATAGTCATGGATTCATATTTTCAACCTCACTTTCATAATTGTTTCTATTTACACTCAAGTCAGAGCCTTAAGTGATGTGTAATCTTCCAACTGCCTGGATTGTGCAGCAAATGCTGAGCACACCTGTGCAAACTGAAGATGAATTGGTGTTTCCCTGACTGATGCAGTATATTAGCCAACCTGCAGATGTAACGTATTTGCAGCTTCTGTGCAATCTTCCTGTGAGGGGGGTTAATGAACACCGTGGTAATGGATTCAAAATCTCAACTGTCATCTTGCTGTTGAATATGTTTTGTCTGCAGCTTTTGATTCGCTTCATTATAAATAAATCTGGCTGGTAGTTTATTTGTGCAAAGTGGTCTCGGTGTCTATTTTCTGCTTTGAGGGCTGATGACATCCTACAAACTAACAATAAGAAACAGATATTGGTAGTTTTACTTTTTAAGGTGGGCAGATCGCTTATGGAAGTGTGTGTGTGTGTCTCTCTCTCTCACACACAATATTCTGGAGAAAATCAGTGAAGAAGAAACTGGGAATAGTAACTCTGATGACGTGTTCCCTCTTTGGTTCAGGAATATCAATATTTGTTTCATGCAGTCATTTGTAAACAAATTGAAACATTTGTAAACATTGAAACGGTTTAGAATAATCCCAGACACGGAGTGACGAAGAATATTTAACTGTCATTTAATACATAACCCAGTTACAATATGGAATCTGAGAAATGGAAAGAGGAATTCACAAGCAGGGGGTAGGAGTAGATATTTCAGACATGCAGCACACAGCCGGAATATCAGTGGGAGATTCAGTCTATGGGGCATGATTCTGTGCAGATGATCAATATTAAAGGCAGGCTCAGCTCCTCAAAGCTTGTAGGTCACAGCAGGCTCACAGTGCCCAAAGTTTCCATCTATGTAGTGGGTACAGTATTCACACTGTGGGAGGCACTGAGCCCAACTCGTCACCCCTCCAGGCAAATCCTGGGGTCAACAGGAATTAAAGATTTACCTCAGGACATTGTAATGAATGGCTTTGGAGGGGTGTGGAAATCATGTAGGCATTAGAGAAATTCATTTTCTTACAACACTTTTGTTTATTTATTACTTAAATTATCACAGATGGGGAAAAGAGACTGTTCCACTGAAGGGGGGGGGGTGGAATTGGGAAGTGATGAATTCTTCAGGAGTATGTCAAAAGCAGTGTTGGCGACACATTGCCAAGCAGATGCCAGGCACCATAAAATAACTGCGATGTAGAATTTCCTCCCAGTTTTGGTAAACCCAAACTGTTTAAATGTTGTAAAGTGGGGGGGAAAAAAAAAAAATCAGCTCACCCACGGAAGCTCTTAAACATGTGTCTAGGCAACAGCAAGGTCTATGGCTGCCTCCTCGGCCAGTATACTGTAGAGTGCAACACACACGAGTTGGTTGGGTTGGGGGAGCAGTGTTTAAAATCACTATTTTTTGACAGTCTGCGGCAACATGATTGGGGTGCAGCACAATGCTAGCATGGAGAGACTCTTTCCTCAGTCCATGTTGGTACAGAGACATCTTCACATTGTAAATTCAAATTCACATTCCATTTCTGGCACATACTCAAGTCGCTCAGCTCCATTTTGAACCTTCCTTTAATTTCCAGCTCATATTGTCCAAGACGGTACTGTGTGACACAGGACAACGCCACCACCTGCTGACAAGTAATGGGAAGTGTTCATGCCTGAAAAAAATCCTCTCCCTCCACCGTGAATGTAGAAACGTACTATTTGGTGGATGGGAAATGACAAAGGTCGATGAAATTCGTCCTCTCCCATCCTGGTACAATGATAAGCGAGTTGCTGACAAATCATAGTAATGCTTTATTCTGCATGGTCGAAGAAGTGCTCACCACCACCTTTTCAAGGACAACCAGGAATTTGCAACAAATGCTGGCCTTGCCAGCAATGCTCAAATTCCAGGGAAGAAATGAAATATTATTCTGCAAAAACAAAAGACCCAGGTACGCAGCGTAGAGAGCTCCAATGCAGGTGGGTTCTGGGAACATTAGGTCATCCAATCCTCCTAAGCATATTCTGCTCACTGCACACTGGTCATTGTGTGCTAGGTCTATGGAAAATAAGAGACGTGGTGCTATAAGTTAGAAAGCAGCTTCGACAACCAGCAGAAAGCTGATACCAGTGTATCAGTCACCAGCTCCTCGTCACGGCCAAGCAGTGTCATGCAAAGGCCATGGCTGGGATCAGGCCAGCTGGTCAGGGGAGGAGGTGGGGACAAACCAGGGGGCAAAAAGGGAAAATACAAAGGGTCTGTAAGAACGTGAGGGCCTAAAAATCAGCTCAGTGCCAGTCCAAGGTTAAAACACATTGTAGCTTAAAAACAACACCATTAAAGTTGCTCTCTCTCCCTCTCTTAGAGAGGTTTCTTCCTGACCACAATGGGGTTTTTATAAAGCAAAGTGCAAACATTTCATTTCATGTGTTAGCACGTCCGACTGGGCTACCTTGGGATAGGAAAGGCTCCGAGCTGGTCTGTTACCAATGAGCATCCCTCATCTTTGCAACCTGGTGGAGCATCTCGGTGTGGTTGGCGTACAGTCTCTGTCGTTTGTCGATGTCCATCCACTTGACAGCCCCTGCGTCGTCACCTGCCTGAAGGTTCAGCTTTCCCACACTGTTGCCTGGGGAAAGAGAAGGGGCAGAAGAACTCAGCAAAGAGGCTGCAGAATAACACTTAGCAGGGGAGGGAGATAGGAGAGGAGAGGGCGACAGACACCATACTGTTACTGCCCATCACAATTCCAGTTTGAAGAGTGGCCCGTTTGATAGAGGTCGGAGAGAGACGGAGGGGGAACCAAACATCACCAGAGCAAGTATTCCTGTGAGAGTTGCTTCTGCCAGGAGAGTTAATAAAGATCAAATACACATTACATCCTGCAATACAAAGGATACGGATATTTTGTGGAAGAGTGGGTAACTCGGAATTATCGGCCTGCCCCACGTTGAGGCCTAGCAATTGAATGAAACGAACGAAGGTGTTTGCAGACGGTGAGCCCCATGCTTTTCACTGGAGCAGTATGGGGGACAAAATTCAAGATTTCTCTTGAGCTGCGAGTTCGATTGGATTGTGCCAGCTATGTCACAGCTACAGAAGGCCTGCACAATTCTGAAGATTGGGAGTTTCAGTCCCACTTCCACGACTGAAGTGCACACTCTTGGATAACTCTACAATGTAGTGCTGAGGGGGTGCTGCACTGTCAGAAGTACTGTCTTTTGGATAAGAAGTTTAACTGACTGGCTTGACAGGTAGATGGTAGAAGAGTTATCCCTAGTGCTCTGGCCTAACATTTCCGAAACAGAGACAATATACACAAACAGTGGCAGCAGTTCAGAGCATCAGCAAGGGACAAAAGGAGAGGAAAGTTCTCCACTGCATTGCTGCAGCAGGTCCACAGGTTGGAAGGTCAGCGTCTGGATAGAACAGCCTGAGCCCACACAGGTATACAACACAGTCCTCACTTTTCCTTCCTGAGTTTAAAATAAAACCAGCAACATAGCCAAGGCAGAAATAATTACCTGTCTCATCATGGAAATTCATAGCCACTGTCTCAATCCAAGCATTATCAGTGTTCCGGGGATCATCCACATATCCTTTGTAGACCTGAGGAGACAGAACTCAATGACGATTCAACATGACTGTGTATTTTGGATTCTGACATTACTGTCTTCACTTGCGCACTAAGATAAGCTGGCTCGCAGTTTGACACAAGAAACAACAAAACTTGTGATCGATATTGGGAAGAGTCACAGAATCCCTGCAGTGCAGAGAGAGGCCATTCCACCTATCGAGTCTGCACAGAACCTCAAACAGCAGCCCATCCAGACGCACCCACCTATCCTATCCCTGTAACCCTACATTTAGCATGGCCAATACACCTAGCCTGCACTTCCCTGGACTGCAGGGGCGAATCCACCTAAGCCTGCACATCTTTGGACAGTGGGATGAAACTGGAGAATATGCGAGCTCCACACAAACAGTTACCCAAGGGTGGAATCGAACCTGGGTCCCTGGCGCTGTGAGGCAGCAGTGCTAACCACTCAGCCATCCTGGGAGTGATTGACGGAGATGAGCAAGTGCTGGATAAGAACGGATGAAAGAAATGCAAGCCTGCAACAGGAGTGAATAGGGCAGCATGAATAGCTGGAGAGCAGAATCACAGGCTTGGGAGAACCAAGTTGGAACAACAGAGTGACAGGGAAGGGCATGGTGGGGAGAGCCAGGTGACAGGGATAGAAGTGGGGTGGCAAGGACCCATGGAGGGGGCAACACTGGGCAAAGCCACCAATGTGGCAGAGGAGCCAACTAATCCTGTAACTCAAGCCCAATACAAATGGCCTGCTCCTGTTGAGGTCAAGTCACAGAACTCAAACTACGGATTATTGAAAATGTCTCCAGACAAAGCTTTTCACCACCTGGGATTTTGATTTATTTCCAAATATTTTATAGGATAGCTAACAGGGATTGACTACTCTGGTTCATCACTGGCTCCATTATCATTGTAACACAATAGGTGGGAAGGTATGTAGATGAACTAGCTTGACTTGGGTCCTTCAAAAAACTCCTATTTTCCAACAAATAATCAGAAGTAGACTTTAGTTGCAGGCAGCCTGCGATCCAGAAATGTCTGTTTGGAAGACAAAAGCTCCACCACCTACACTAATTACTCATGTAATTATACATCTCAGCACAGTCAAAGGCCAGTGTGAACTGAACATTTATTATGCAAATACATTTTATCCATTATGTACTGGGATAATTAATAAAACTTTCACACATGTGGAACAATCTATTGATTAAAGAAACAACAGGAGGCAACACTCATAAAACATTGTTTTCATTTAACATAGACAGCCCTGCTCTCCACAGTGAGGATGTGGAGGTGCCGGTGTTGGACTGGGGAGGACAAGGTCTATAACCTGGTGTTGTGGGATTTCTGACCTTCTCCAGAGTGAGGTCCTTGAAACAAAGTAAGGGTATAGCGAAGGTTCTCCGACGTAAATTGAGTGAATGTTCTTCCTGCCCACCTGACCCTGACCCTGGATTGATGTAGGAGCCCTTTCAGCCTTCATTTGACTGCCTTTATCTGTGCCTTCCTCCCCGCTGAACAATCAGCCTTCGAGTGGCCTCCCTCTGCACTATTATGCTTCTGTGATAATTAAGGAAAGCTTAAACTGTCCACATTGCACCTCAGCAGGGGAGTGAGCTCAACAGTTTCTGAATCCCTGATGTAAGAGCATGTTTTACCACACACCATCTACTGAGCTGCACTTGGAACCAACCATTCACTAATCTGAACTATTAACTGGTGTAGCCCAGTCAGGCCACATGTGGAAAGCCGTTATAAAAAGATTGTAATGTCTACCTCTTTAGAATTACTTATTTTCCTAACTTATATTTTGTCTATCTGTAATATAGTGTAACTTCTTTCTTTATTTTCTTTATTTTGGCCCAAAGATTTGTACCTAAGATGGTGCCAATGTGTTGGCGACATTGTTACACCTTTCACCATACACCTGTCCTTTTGTAACTTGAGTACACGTGACCATAAGCCTAATTCTATTCCAATCTCTTATCATACAGTCGAGTCTCAATTAACTTTCTCCATTAAGAATCAAGAAACTGACCAGCCTTTCATCAACATCTCCCATTCTCTCCCACCCACTCACCAGGAACCACTGCACAATATCAAACATTGATATAGGATTACAAAGGACAAACAGCACACAATCAGGCCATTGAGTCTTAGCAGTTCATCTACTCAAGCCTTCTCCCTTGTTTCCTCAGCTAAATGCATCATTGCAACCTTCTGCTCCCTTCCTTTATTTAACTTCCTTAATCATCTCATGCCTATGGATACTGCAGAACACTACATTAGTTGTTTAGACCATACAGATCATAGATCATAGAATCCCTACAGTGTGGAAACAGGCCCTTCAGCCCAACAAGTCCACACCGACCCTTGCCACATCCCACCCAGACCCATCCCCCTATAACCCACCTAAGCTACACATCCCTGGACACTATGGGCAATTTAGTACAGCCAATCTACATCTTTGGACTGTGGGAGGAAACCGGAGCACCCGGAGGAAACCCACGCAGACACGGGGAGAACGTGCACACTCCACACAGACAGTTGGCAGAGGGTGGAATCGAACCCAGGTCCCTGGCACTGTGAGGCAGCAGTGCTAACCACTGAGCCACCGTGCCGCCCGAGGGTAAATCCTGGGTTTATTTGCCAGGCTGGCCTAGTCCACAGTTTACTGTCAGCCAGAAGGTGGAGCTCTCCATTTGCTCTCTGAGAACAGACTATCACTCAGCTTCCAGGCTTTTACCATTAACAGCCACCATTTAGGAAAGACATGGAGGTGCTGACTGACAACCCACAAACAAAAGTCAACACCTTCCTGGGATTAGCACACACTCACTACAACATAAAATACCGCCTTCGCATTACAGCAAGGCTTAAAAAAATGCCTACCCATGCATGTGAACCAAATCGTAATCCTCAACTTCAGAGAGAAAACTGCTCACAAAAAAAAACTTGGTTAATTATTACTTCTAAAGATGTTTTATATGGGGTACCAGAGGACACTTCTACCTCCCAGGAACTATGTAGCGGCATGTAGGAATGGGGCATAAACACTAATGTTACCCACCAATTCTCCGGTTTGAAAGAGGGAGTCGATTAATGCTTTAGTTTGTTTTCTCTCGGCTTCTGGTAACTCTAGGGAGTTCAATGCTTCTTCTCCAAATTCTCTTTTGAGAGTGACTGACACTCTCTCACCGGGATCAATCATTCCCTGTAAGGAAAAACAAACGAGAACAGAGCCTCAGGACAGATCACTGGGACTGTACTTGTGCTTATAACTTCCAGTCCTGTGCTTATTTAATTATGCATCCAGCTTCTTTAAAAGAAGAAGCCAGCAGAGACTGCTCTCCAGACAGAGTTCTAAACCAGAATTTCGGGAACTGAATCACTGGCAATCCTAGATTTAGCACATTCAAACTTCCTCTCATCCGCCCCAACATCATCTCAAATTCAGAGATAGTAGGAACTGCCGATGCTGGAGTCTGAGATAACAAGGTGTGGAGCTGGAGGAACACAGCAGGCTAGGCAGCATCAGAGGAGCAGGAAAGCTCATGTTTCAGGTTTGGACCCTTCTTCAGAAAAAGGGTCCTGAAGAAGGGTCCAGACCCGAAACATCAGCTTTCCTGCTCCTCTGATGCTGCTTGACCTGCTGTGTTCATCCAGCTCCACACCTTGTTATCTCATCATCTCATCATCTCAAATTCAGCTGCCTCCCCTAACATGATGTGCAGTTTGACCCATGTGAGATTTCCATCTGAATTCCAGTTTGTGTCGGGAATTCTCAGGCACTGGGGAATGGATTGGAACTGTCCACTCTTTCATAAATATATAGCCGCAGTAAGTGGGAGCCTTACCCCACTTTTGCAAGCTGGAGGAAAATGAGAGACAAAAAGAACAAATTTGCCCAAAAACTGAATCGCCTGAAACAGGACGTATGTAGGGCTAAGCCCTGACTGTGATCTGATATTACTGAGTGCTTCATGGTCCTGTTCTGGAGACAGACAGAGGGGCACAGCAAAGGATTGATAATCTCCATCACTCCACCGTTGAAGCTCAGGGCTGGGCAGAAGTCTTTAGCCATCAGACAGCTATCAACGCTCACTACACACGTGAATTACATTGGGAACTCTATCGCACAAAATACATAGGTCACCATGGGAGAAAAATGGATGGAAAATCTGGAGAAAGAAAGTCACAGAGATGGTCAGAATCTCAGATTGTTTAGGAGGTTATTTTTAAGCTACCAGAGAGCAGGTTGGAATCTGAATCAAGTCAGACTCTTCAGGGTGGTGTCTTCTGCAGCCTTCCTTACCCCAGGAATGGCCCATTCCTTATTGTCTCTTCTACATATTGCTACAAACTGCAGGACAGGCTTTCCACAGTCACTGTGAATTATTGGTTTTCCAGCCTCCCTCTTCCACCTGCAAACAAAAGTCAGAAAGGTTCCTCAGATGTAGGTCAGTAGCCAGAGACAGAAGAATTTAATGAGGCTGTATCCACAGCTATTGGGAGTTAATGCAGGCACTTCTAGTCTCTTAGCAACACACTTTACAGTGCATGTATGCTGGTAATATGACACTCATGTCAATCCTTGAACTTCAACTTTACAAACAGCACGGTGGCTCAGTGGTTAGCACTACTGCCTCACAGCACCAGGGACCTGGGTTCGATTCCAGCCTCGGGCGACTGTCTGTGTGGAGTTTGCACGTTCTCCCCGTGTCTGTGTGGGTTTCCTCCGGGTGCTCCGGTTTCCTCCCACAGTCCAAAGATGTGCAGGTTAGGTGGATTGGTCATGCTAAATTGCCTGTAGCGTTCAGGGATGGGCAGATTAGATGGGTTGTAGGGTGATGGGTCTGGGTGGGATGCTCTGAGGGTCAGTGTGGACTTGTTGGGCTGAAGGGCCTGTTTCCATACCATAGGGGTTTCTATGATTCTAAATCAAACCTTAATCCAGTTTAGAATCTCCATTATTACTCCAGAAATACAAAATCAATGTTTAAATCAGCTGCTATATACAAGAGTTTGTCATTAATTATATGCAGGGGATAAAATATTATTGAGATAGAAAATAAATCAAATGGCCATTTGGCCCATCATATCCACTGTCATTTAACAAGATCATGGATAATCAATGCCACACCCTTGCTTTCTTGCCATATCCCTAATTGCTTTGGCCTCTAGAAATCTTTTTCTCTCTCAGATATATTCAGTGACTTGGCCTCCACAGCCGTATGTGGTGGAGAATTCCACAGTGTCACTGCCATCCGAATGAAGATGTTTCTCCCCAGCTCAATCTGAAATGGCCTGTGTATGCTGAGATTGTGACCGCTTGTTCTGGGATTCCCTCCACCACCAAGTCCAGGCTCCCACTCGTGACGGTTTTCCACGAGCCCCTATTGGAGAGTGTGAACCCAAATACAGCACTCCAGAAAGAATATTTCACAGAAATGTTCAGTCATTAATGGGTGGTGTCACCAGCAACAAACAGCACCTCTCTGATCACTCATTCTCAAGGTCTCGCTGTATAGCCACAAATTGTGGAGGAGCCTATTACACTTTGTTTCAGAGACAGTAGGAACTGCAGATGCTGGAGACTCTGAGATAACAAGGTGTAGAGCTGGATGAACACAGCAGGCCAAGCAGCATCAGAGGAGCAGGAAGGCTGGCGTTTCGGGTCAAGACCCTTTTTCAGAAATGGGGGAGCGGAAGGGGGTTCTGAAATAAATAGGGAGAGAGGGGGAGGCGAATAGAAGATAGATAAAGGAGAAGATAGGTGGAGAGGAGACAGACAGGTCAAAGAGGAGGGGATAAATGGCGAAACGTCAGCCTTCCTGCTCCTCTGATGCTGCTTGGCCTGCTGTGTTCATCCAGCTCTACACCTTGTTATCTCACACTTTGCTACACCCCAGGTATTTAGGATTATCACATTTCTCCCTGTCCTCTCACTCAGTCTTTGACTTCCTGACAAAATATACCACACTGCAACCTCAGTAATGATTCTCTGGAGCAAATGCGCAGCTTTTAAACTCAAAACTGCGAACAAACACCAATATACAGCACCATAGGTACATCTAGTTCCCTGGTGCTTATTGTGTTTACCCTGAAATCTGTTTCAATGAAATTTAGTTCACTATCTGTTGAACTAATTTATTGGGTCTGCTTCAATAGTTATTACTCATCAACTGTTACATTATGGGTGAAAACTTGCTTCTTACTTCTAACTTCCTCATTTTAACTTTGCTCTTTGGAACCTATTATCACAGAGAATGATTGGTTTGAGGTGACTTCTTTCATAATTTCAAAGATCTGGATTTTTGGAATTTTAGTTCTAAAGAAAAGCTAAGGAAATTGTTCCTTTTTCCTTTGGAAAAGAGATTTCAAGATAATGTAATTGAATTATATTTTCTTGTTCCTGTACCATCTCAAGATCAGTAAGGTATCTCTTATGATTTGAAGTGTTAGGTATTCAGATTGCGTGATGGTAGAAATAAAGGAAAGTAACATTTCAGCCATTATAAGGCTCAGATCTTTATCACAGAGAATCATAGAATTCCGACAGTGTGGAAGCAGGTCATTCAGTCCACCAGTCCACACTGACCCTCCAAAGAGCATCCCACCTAGACCCACTCCCCTCCTCTATAACCCTGTATTTCCCATGGCTAACCCACCAAGACTGCACATCCCTGGACACTATTGGGCAATTTAGCATGGCCAATCCACCCTGACCTGCACATCTTTGGGCTGTGGGAGGAAACCGGAGGAAACCCACACAGGCACGGGAATAATGTGCAAACTCCACACAGACAGTTGCCCGAGGCTGGAATCGAACCTGTCCCTGGCGCTGTGAGGCAGCAACACTAACTACTGTGTCACATTTTAAGACGATTAACGTGTTTGATAGGTTAGGGTATAGGGAAAGAGACTACTTCGTCTGCTGGTCGAGTCTAGGACAACCTCAAAATCAGAGCTGAGCTGTACAGGGACAAGAAATAGAAGCTCACAGAGTTTGTGAGGAAATCTGGATCCCTTGTGAACTTTTTCAGTCGATGAGTGAATTGAAAAGAAGAAAACTGTGATTTAAAGAAATTTTGGCGAGAGTATTGGATAAGGAATCATGGAGCTATGATAAGGATCAACCCTGACTGAATGGAATGGTAGCAGAGACAAAATTTTTTCGATGTGCCTGACTCAAAGCAAAGTTCCAGTTGTTGAGATTTATTACACTTTAAGTCCCTGTCATACAGCCTCACTGTCCACTTTCTGGATTCTGAAACACAGGGTGATTGCAAGGAGATTCCCAAACAAACAAAGAGCACATACCTTGTCACAATAGGGTCTGCTGCATGATTAGGGCCCCATCTTCCCAGGAGTCCTCTACCCCTCAATCCAGTCCGTCCACAGGGATTCCTGAGGCACAGGGTAAAACGCAGGAGAACGTGTTACTTGAACCTCAGTCAGAACACTAGATAGCAGGAAATAGCTTCCTGCAGTATGGACTTAATCCAAAGAATAAGCATTCATCTAATTCGGGCCCAGGACACCTGCACGGGGGGGAATGCGTCATTAGGCCAAGAGTGAAACACTTAGTCAGAGTAAAACTAATGTCATAACTCATAAGGGACAAAAAGGACCTCTCGGTTCCAAGTGTTCTTATCAACCTCATCGCAGTGCTGCGTCCTTTGTCTTCTTTGTCCAATGCAATCTGGATTTCCAAGGCTCTACGAGCGGAAGGGAGGCTGACCATCTGTTCGCACACCACTTCCAAAAAAGCTCTAAAAGCAAATGCTAAGGGAGGTACGTGATAGGTCTCCCTGCCTGTTAATCAGAAAACTTGCGGTTGCTACTTGGTGCCTCCTCACAACGCTATCCAGAAATGCAGCAGTGTGGCAACTACAGGAGCAAACTCCCCATCCATCACACTGTGCCACACACAATTAAAAAAGACCCCGTACAATGATGTGACAAACTGTGCAGAAAGTTGTCACAATTTGCGACATCAGATCCTTCTCCAGTTCTACAAACACTACGCCCACAGTTCTGACGAAGGGTCACTGGACTCGAAACGTTAACACTGATTTCTCTTCCCAGATGCTGCCAAACCGGCTGAGATTTTCCAGTAATTTCAGTTTTTTTGTTTCTAAACACTATGCCTTTCTGCTTTCTCAGCCCCTTGTTCCCCCTCCTAATCTAGCAATGGAAATTTGTACCACCATTGTCATTTTCTTTTGAAAAAGAAACTGTGAACTTTGCACACATTAAACTGAGCCATGTTAGAAATAGAGATGGAATCAGAGATAGTAGGAACTGCAGATGCTGGAGAATCCGAGACAACAAGGTGCAGGGCTGGATGAACACAGCAGGCCAAGCAGCAT